CTTTCCCCCCCCCCCCCCGCCTTCTCTGTTTCTTTGTGGCAAGCATATGTACCCTATGGGAAAAACAAACAAACAAAAAACTCTTTTTGGTTGCACTAAATATAGGACTGCCTCTTCCAGAGATAGATTTGGGAATTAGTTATTAATACATTAACTATAGCAGCTGAAGCTCTGCAAGTAGATGACACAGAAATTCGGATCAGAGGGTGGATGCCTGAGCACCAGGGACTCCTCACAAAGATCAAAGTAAGAAATATACTGCAATTAAAGAGCATGCAAAGAATCATGTTATATCACAGACATGTAAATCCAACCAATAAAAAAAATTGAAAATCTTATTAAAGAAAGGAAACATTAATATTTGCATTTAATTGAGACTTTTATTCTGCTGGTTTCTTTGGGGCAATTATAAGATAGATGCCCCTAAAACCTGCCTATGGAAACTAGACCACTGAGCTCTGACTGCCCTGAAAATTCCAGATTACAGCTGTCCTAATGGAGTTACTTAGTCCATGTCCCCGAGATCACCAGCTTTATCCACCCCACTCCATGTTCCCAAGGTGGATGATGAGGATGGTAACAATAATGACTGCTTATATTTGTTAATAGCGTTGGACTCAGCTCTCAGTGCTTCACCTGCATTAACCGGTCTCATCTGCACAAGAGTGTTAAGGTACAACTCTAAGAGGTAAATAAGCATGTGATGAGACTCCAGGCCCAAGGACACCCCTGGGTGGCCCATGTTCACAGCTACAAGTGTCAGAGCCAGCATTTGAGCCCAGGTAGGCTGGTTCCCCTCACCATTATGCCTCCCAAGGCACCTGAAGGGAGTTGGACCTTTCTTACTACCAATTACACTCAATCTGCTGAACTGAGGGCTTCTCCATTGCCTCTGCAACTTGTAAAGTTTTCCCCTCATCACCCCCTCTGTATGCCCTCCTGTCTTCAATTGCTCCTCTTCCTGGGTGGTCCTTCATAACCTCCACTCCCAAGGTTTTGCGGAGGTTGGCATATAGCAATGGCTGCTTGGCTGAGGGCAGGGTCAGGTCAGGCTGATGCTGGTATTGTTCCTTTCCTTCAAAGTCCCTCACCAATCTGTAACAATAATCTCCATTCTAAAATGCCTACGCATCCTAGTACGAGGACTGCAGATTATCTTCACACATCTCTAATGAGAGGGACCAAAACTAGCTTCAGTATAGATCACTCAGCTGCCTGGACCTTAGCTCAGCTGGGCCCTCTCCTCAACACCAATTTAGGGTTTCCCATTCATCTTTTTTTTGAAGTGGATTCCACATCACAGTAGGGAGAAAGTACATCAAAAGGCAAGAAATTGAACCGGGAAAGAGGAAAGCTGACAGCTGGAAGGACCCTCAGCCACTCATTTGATAATCTACATGCTTGTTGGGAACTACTTCAAAACATGAACCATGGGAGGCCTATCCCTCCTATCCCTCCAAGGAGTTCGGTTTGGTCCTATTTCTCTAATTAAAAGTAACTCAATGTAGGTGCTATAAGGGGTGAGGGTAGGGTTTCATTAAAAATTAAACTGGTTGCTCTAAAATAGTTCATGGTAACTTTAAAAATAAGTATGTAGTTAAAAACCCTAAGAAATAATGTTGTATATTTTTCCAAAATGTCTCCTCATAGGCATGATTTTTTTGTCCTATTTCCCATTGGAAATTATTCCAAACAAAAATGGTAACTTTTAATACAATCAGAGTAGTGAAACTGTTTATTTTTATAATGACAAAAAAATTAAGATAAAGGAAATATAAGTGCTTAAACTCAAGAAGACTTCTAATGAAACAAAGAAAAAAATGCTTAATTTACTACTTGATCTATTGAAATGAGTGAATGTTATTATCAATAGGAAAAAAGGAAAATTTGTTTGGCTGCTAATAAAAAGGTCGAGATAAAACTCAGTAAAGCATAAAATTGCATCTAAGCTAAGATATAAGTGTGAGATGCTTGATTGCATTAAATCTTTGGGGGGGACTCACTAATATGTAGAATGTTCTGCTCATATCTACTTAAGTTAAAGGGACACTGTTAACCAAATTCTTATTATCTTAAAAGTATTTATTGTTGGAGACCAGCAGTTGGTGTGATGGCTACGTTGTTGGACTCCCATGTAGTCGACTGAGTTCTGAGTCCCGAACCTGGTGGCTTAAACTCACGCCGGGTGTGTGTGCGTGTGTGCCTAAGATCCTGAGAGGAGAATGGAGGAGAAGGGATTGTGATGTGGCCATCCCCCCTGGGGATGTGATTTCTCACTTTCTATCTCTGTCTCTCTCTGTCCTTCTGGCGAGTGAATGTACCCTATAGCAAAAATCTCTCAAAAAAACACAAAAAGTATTTATTGTTGAGCCAGCAGGTGGCATGGTGGCTAGGGCACTGGACTCCCACATGGCCAACTGCAGTTCAAGTCCTGGCCCTGGCAGCTTGCTTTGTCACTTTTTCCCTCTCTCCATTTCTATTTCTCTTCCTGTCACTCTCTGGTGAGCACACATGCCCTACAGCAAATTAAACTAACTACAACAATAATAATGATGATAAATATAATTAAATAATTCTTTAAAATGAAACAAAAGTATTTATTGTTTCAGGCTAGCAGATATCATGGAGGTTAAGGTGCTAGATCCCACAAGGTCACCATCATGGTTCGAGTCTTGGACCTGGAGGCCTATATATGCTGAGCATATATGAATGTGTGCTCAAAAATCCTGAGAGTGGAGGAGGAGGAATTGGGGCATGGCCATCCCCCGTTCCCCCTGGGATATGATTTTTCTCTTTTCCTCTCTCTCTGTCTCTGGCAAGTACAGATACCATATAGCAAAAACCAAAAAAAAAAAAAAAAAAAAAAAAAGTTATTATTTTAAAACTTTTTCTTTCTAAAATTAATTCCTTTTTCACATCTGCCCTCATTTTCTACTGTCCCTCTCTGTGGCAACATGATTCTAAGTGTTACTTTTCACTTGCTACACTCTGTCCGCTAGTGGAAGGTGTTTTATTTTGCAAATAAAAAGTCCTGAATATAGTTATCTTAAAACAAAAATAAACATGAAGAATCAAATGAATTTTTAAATTGTTATTCTGACATTGACATCCTTGTTTCATCCATTTACATTTTAAAACAATTATTTATTTAATTTTATTTATTAAATAAAATTATTTATTTATTCATTCATTTATTTTAATTTAACCAGAGAGAGACACATACACACACAGAAGGAAAGTGACAAAGCAAGCAACCAAGTCCAGGACTCGAACCATGGTTGGCCATGTGGGACTGTCCAGTACCTCAACCACCATGCCACAACCTGCTGGTCCCCATCCATTTACATTTAATGGAAACTTCAGTGTGAATGAAGCATTCTGTGCATCTCTTGATTATCTTAATGCTACACTCTTGTCCTCATAAGAGTCTTGCTTCATATTTGTTGAAGACTAAGTGAGAAGCTGTAGGCATGCATGCAAAGCATAATGCTTCTACAAGCTCAGATTGTTCTTGAGAGAAGCCAAAGAAGGGATGCCAGCTTTAGCGTCAGTGGGGATGACAAGGGGAGAGATGAGGGGTTATGATAACCAGGACAACCTACAGTCCAGCTCATTCCAACTCATTTCTAGAATCACCTTAATGTGTCCAGTCATTGGGGCCTGACCTAGAAGTTACAGGCTTCTGAAGATAAGATGCAGGAGTAGTCCTACAAGATCTCTTGAAGAAATCAAAAGATGGTCCTGAAAAATTCCCAAATCTCTTTTCCCTAGAGATACCATATGTAAAGATAGGTACTGAATATCAGAAGTATAGGCTAGATTAAAACCTGACAGGGATGGGGGCAGCTAGATCCCACATGGCTGGCTACTTGAAAGACAGGACAGGCTCATGTGCCTGCATGCCCTGAGTCCCCAAAGGAGGGAGAGATGGAGGAGAAGGGACTGAACTGTGACCATTCTCCACAGAGGATGCTTTCTAATTTCCTTATGTTTCTCTGTTGAATGTACATGTTCTCTGGCAAAAAAAGAAAGGGAAGGAAGAAAGGGAAGGAAGAAAGGGAAGGAAGGAAGGGAAGGAAGGAAGGGAAGGAAGGGAAGGAAGATAGGGAAGGAAGGAAGGAAGGGAAGGAAGGAAGGGGACAAAGGGGAGAAAGGGAAGAAAGAAAGAAGGAAAGAAGGAAAGACAGACTGTCCGACCTTTCGTTTTCTCATTGGTTTGAAAGAGTGATCACTGAGATCTCTTTGATAAATTTAGCTAACATGTTGCCTGATAAATTACTTGATGCTCTACAGTAGAAAGGACTAATTTGGAGCTATCAAATACTTGCTGGATTCCACTCCTTGAAAGAAAAATATGTACTCACTACTAAACACTTTCAAACATTGCATTGCTTGTGTTGACCAAATATATTTCTCATGTATCAGCAAACTGTGGGCTGCATCTCTGAAATTTAGGTTGCAGATAGAACACAACTGATCACTATTTGTATTCTTTATGCCAGTCTTATTCCCGGTTGAATTAAGTAAATTGTAGACTCAAAGAGAATAATACAGGGGTTTGGAAGCAGAGTAAAATAAAAACACAAAAAGTTACCAGTGCCAAGTTTCGCAAGTCAAATGAAAATGCTTTCATGTCTGCTCATGAGTAATTAAGTATTCTAGGTATCTCAAAAATAATACAGCACTTGAAAAACTATCCCAGGCAAATACCATTAGGTCTGAATGTCAAGATTACTGTAAAGAAATAAACCAAGAGTCCTTTTATTTACCCTCTATAGATAGAGCAATAAATTTATGGAAGCTGGAATTATATAGCATAAAAGAGAAAATCATTACCTTTAAGCAATAAGGGCATGAAAGGGATTTTTGGTGGCTTCATCTTTTTGAATGCATCTCTGTAGGCTTTGTGATTTAGAGAAGGATCCTGGAGAACCAGGCAGATTACAAAGAGAAAGGAAAATCAATGTGCTATAGAAACAATTCCAAATCCACTTTTGCTATACAATTTGAACATAATTTAGATATACAGAGTTTCTTCCTAAGAATGAAGAAGATAAAGGTTTCCTAGGAGAATAAACTCACTAAATTAAGACAGGAAATCTAGGCAATGAATGAAACTCAAGTTATTGGTTTACAATAATGGGAAATGACTACAAAAGAGTGACCCCTTTTGATTGCCCTATTATTTTCCTCAAATGTGTTCTTTAAGTATACAGTTTCCTCTGCATAATTTCTATCATGCGGTAACCCTGAAGTCTTTTGTTTAGGGAACTGCAAAGAAAAACTGCCTTCACAATGTAGAACGTAAAGAAAACAAAAAACCCCACTTTTATTGTGTTCTAAAGAGAAACTATATGTTTTGTATCTAAACCTAAGATACAGTAAAAACAAAAAAAAGATAAAAGAATAATACTTAAGACACTAATTGCACACTAAATTTATAAGGATTAATTTCGTAAGTCTTGAAATAGATCATTAGACATGAAAAACTGCTTTCTGAAAATCACACTAAAAGAGCAATTCTCGCTAGCTTTTCAAAATGGAGATGAAGCAGCATTAATTGTCAACTAGCTTCACTTCCTAAGGAATACAGTTATATTTGCATATACAAGTAAACTCATCTGTGCTACCCGACACTGTGGAGTGTAGATATGAACCACTCAGGTCTACAAAGACACTAGATGATAGCAACTAATTGGAAGAACAAGTCCCCTTTGGCTCAACTACTTACTGTTAAACTTTCAAGTTCAGAGAAAAGTTTCTTAAACTTCCCAGGGATTTTCTAAAAAAGAAAAAAAAAAAAAAAAGGTCACAGGAGTCAGTTATTTTGAGAGGTACACAGGGATGTTTGCACTACGTTATGCTTACCCACATTGCATTTCTGAACAGAAACATCTGTCATGACCCTGATTGCTCAGTTACGTGATTTTTCATCATCCCTTAGCGATCCCTAGCAATGTTGCTAAAAACAGTTGAAAGTAACAGCCACATGATTTAGGCTTCTAGCTGGTTAGACATTCCACATACTGGTGATTATTGAATAAAAACTTAAATTTCAGTTCCATATTCTACCTTTGACAAATACTCTCATCTTCTTAATAGTCTTGCTGAATAGAAAATAACAATGTTGGCTGGCATATTTATATAAATGTTTCACGGTGGAGGACAAACAGTGAGGGACATGTAAACCTTAAGTGATGGACGAAGCCTGCACTGCAGTGGGTAGACTCACTGAACCATAAAGCTTAGCCACATCGTCTGGTGGCATGTGAAATGACAACCCATCTTCTCAAAAATCAGGGCAAAGGAAAGATGGTCCAGAATGTTCCAGCCAGCCTTTAACATAGGCAAGTGAAAGACTGCACACCTTTCCTGCTGCTTTAGTAATTTCTCCCAGTAAAGAACACATACGTGAAGTCTGGCTCCATTTGAATCCTGTCTGTGGGAGCTGTGTGGGTTGTTGTGAATCTCCCAGCCCTTGGATCTGTTTGGTCAGCTTAGGCTGTGGAGACAACTCAGGAAAGGTGTACGGGCCATGGCTGGGCTTAAGAGATTCCAGCTATTCATATCAACAACAATGTTTAAAGATGCTTGTAGGATTTTCTTTTTCCAAAATAAATCAGAATGAGGCAAACCCTATAGTCATTAAATTTTTGCTTAGAAATAGATTTTTCATTTTTATAATTCTGAATTTGGATTCAGTTTATAAAAGCAAATAGGTCTTTTAATCTATTTAGAAACTGTTGACCCACTCCTTCCACACAAATACACTAATGAACGGAGGACAAATTAAACAAGATATAAAATACAGACATCTTCAACTTATTCTGATCTTTCCTCTGGGCTGCACATCTCAGTGTGTTGGCCTTCCCACACGAATGTCCCAGTGGTATCTCAAACTCAACACGTCTAAAGTCAAATTGATGTACTCTAGAAGACAGGCCATAGTCCAAATCTGGCCCACTGCCTGCTTTCGTAAATGAAGTCTTATCGGAACACTGTCACAGACGGTCGCATAATAACCAGGGCTGCTCTTGCACTGTGATGGCAGAACTGAGTAGTTGCAACTGAGACCACATGGTCTATACAGTCTAAAAATATTAGCTATCTGCCCCTTAACCAAAAAAATATGTTGACTTCCACTCGAGTTCCTCAAACCTCCTTCCTTTCCTTTATTATCGCTTTCCATTGGCTCAGTCACCAGACCTAGAGATCTGTGGCCACCTGCTGGGATGTCGTCCCCCCATTCCAGCAGCTCCCCAATCAGTCTCAAAGGCTCTGCTGCTGAGAACACCTCACTAAAGTCTTTTCAGCTTCTCTGAGGCAGAATGAGCCCCTTCACTTGCTCCCCTGTGGTTTTGTGAGCTTTGGTTCCAGGCTTCCTTCTTCATACACGCTCTGCTCTAATGTGCATATTTCTATCTGCCTTGTGAGGAAGCTGTGCCGGGGACACAGCAGGGAGGCAGCACGCAGACTCAGAAACACAAGCTGTTTGCATTTGACTGAATTATTTCTCTTCCCCAATTTTTGTAAATCAAAGTTTATCTCAAGGTTGAATTCAAATTCCACTCCCCACAGACCCTTGCTAGTCATGTGTTTTTCTCTTTCTCTGATCAACTGTGGCATTTGCCCCCATCTCCTTCGCTCTGACGATGTGCCTGAACGTCTTGTTTGCTTAACCAGGGCAGGCAAGCCTTTCATTTCTTTCTTGTGAGCCTTTTAAGGAGCACTGACCCTGAGCTCAGGTCACCATGGTGTATTCCACCAGGGTATGACCTCTGGCTGAAAGCAAGGGGATCAATAAGTTGCCCAGAGATCTAAACTGAAAACTAATGTAAGAAAAGAAACAAGTTGGCCTATGAGCTTCTCTCTTCTAGGAATGAGAATTGGGAAACGAGAAGAAAATGGTACAGTTTGTGAAAGAAACTGATCTGACAAGTCTGTGAGGACAGAGAGAGTGAAGACACCACAGTGAGTCACATGCAGGCTGGGGCCAGAAGGAAGAAGACATGATGATGAAAGAGAAATAATGATGGAGAGAAACGTAATACAGAGTGAGATAGCCAGGAGGGAAAGGAGCTGAAGAAAATAAAAGCCCAAGGAGGAAAGGTGACAGGGTCATGGGCCAGGCAGAGAACCCTGTGACTGTGTTGAGTTAAGTTTAGGGGCCCCTGAGTTTCAGTTCTCCCCACACATCCCCTCAGAGAGCACATGTCAGAACCTGTGTTAACTTGAGTGATCTTCAAACCTTAAAACCCAGTCAGCCTCCATGGTACAGAGGCAGAACTGGGATCTGAGAGGCCTGAAATGCACAGCACGCCGTGGGTTCTGAGAAAATCATACAGGATTACACTGTTTTGCAAGTTTTACAAAAATACACAGCATCCCTGTGAGCACACTGCCTGGTCCTCAGATGAGTGGCCCCAAAGCTCAAACTTGTGGGCGTCAGAGCCAATCTACTCCTGAGCTCCCAGCTCCTGCAGGTCAGACGGCGCCAGGGCCTGCTCGGAGCTGGAGCTGTGCTATCTGAAGCACACAGGAAGACAAAATTTTAGCTGGGAGCATTTTACAATTGGTATCTCTTTCATATATATTACAGAACCATTTTAAAGGCTATTTGACAGAAATGGTCCCAACCCCTTTACACATGACTTTTTAACATTTTTAGTCTAGTAGTTTTTATCTCATTTAAACCATGTAAACTGATTTATTTTAACTACAGGCTTCTGTGGGAATGTTTCCTTTCCAGTTTATTTGTCTCCTGTTGGAATCCTAAGACTCACCTCCCAGGTCTGTGACAGCCGGCTCACAGAAGCGGTGTTGAGACCCATCACGATAGCAAAGAAGGAGTTCAGGTTTCTCTGGGCTTTACAGCTGTGGAGTCAAAGAAAGCAGAGATGCTCTGAGAAAACATCTTTTATGGGAGAATCACAAAAGAGAAATCTGTGTCTACTTGTAGGCACCCCAATTCAGCCTGGAGGGGGCAGCACTGAATTCTACTCTATAGCTAGGTAACCCCAGGGCTGGCATCCCCTCAGCTCTTCCTGATGTGATAGAAATTATTCCAAAAGCTTCATTCTTATCATTGGGAACCTTCTTTCTTCGTTTCTTTCTTTCTTTCCTTTTTTTAAAAGAATTATTTAATTTTATTTATTCATTCATTCATTTTAATTTGACCAGAGACAGACAGACACACAGAGAGAAATGAGAAAGCAAGCCACTATATCCGCACTCAAACCATGGTCAGCCATGTGGGAGTACAGTGCCTTAACCACCATGCCACCTGTTGGCCCAAGATTCCTTCTTTTTAAAATGGGGTGGGGCAGCAGATAGTGTGGAGGTTAAGGTGCTGGATCCCACATAACTGACTCAGCTCTTCGAGTCCTGGACCTGATGTCTTGAAAATCACACTGGGCACGTGCTCCAAATCCCAGAAGGAGACTGAAGAAGAAGGTACTACGGCATGGTCATCACCTCTTGGGGGCTCTCTCTCTCTCTCTCTGTCGGTGAAAAGTGCATGAGTCCTATAGCAAAAACTAAAATTAAAAATAGTCTGTTTGGGGGCCAGCCAGTGATGTGGTGGTTAAGGTGGCTGGATCCCACATGACTGAGTGGTTTGAGTCACAGACTTGCCGTTGTAAAAATAAGCTGGGTGTGTTTGCACGCATGCCCCAAATCCTGAAAGGATGAGATGGAGGAGAAGGTATTGCAGTATGACCAGGCCCATGGGTAGTGCTTTCTCACTTTTCCTCTCTTTCTGTTTCTCTCTGGCAAGTACCTATGCCCTCTAGCAAATTTTTAAAAATCTATTTTGTATACATTTACATTATCCACTGAGTATTCTTATAAGTCATGTTTCTTTATATACATCATATTCTCTTTGTAATAGCTCTCTGGTTTGGTCTCTTTAATCAAAGTGCTTTTTAAATCTTTAGACAGACAAGCTCCTCTCACCTCACAGATCTAAACTTGTCTCTATCACATTTAGACACAATTTGCATTGTAACCAACAAAATAGCTACTACATTATGTATATATTTAAAATATGACATACATTATAGGAACACCACATTTCTCATTTAAAGAAACCAGGATCTGGTGACCAGTGGATGGTGTAATGGTTACATTACTGGACCCCCAAGTAGTCGACTATGGTTCGAGTCCTGGACACGTCAGCTTAGAACTCACTCTTGGTGTATGTGCATGCCTAAACTCCCGAGAAGAGACTGGAGGAGAAGGGACTGCAGTGTGGCCATCAACCTGGGGGGTGATTTCTTGCTTTCTGTCTGTCTCTGTCTCTCTGGTGAGCACATATGCCCTATAGCAAAAACCTCTAAAAAAAAAAAAAAAGGAAAGAAAAGAAACAAGAATATGAAATACAAAATAAGAGGGAGCCAACAAATTGTGTAGCAGTTACATAGCTGGACTCCCACATGGCAGACAGTAGTTCAAGTCCTGGACCCAGGTGCTTGAAACACTAGGTGCGTGTGAGTGTGTGCCCAACATCCCGGGAGGAAAATGAAGAAGGGATTGTGGTGTGGCCATCACCTGTGAAGGGTGACTTCTCACTTTCCCTCTACTGTCTCTGTCTTTCTCTCTCTCTGGGAAGTACAAGCATCCTAAGGCAAAAACCTCTAATAAGTAAATATAAATAAATAAATAAAAACAAATGTAAAATAAGGTCATACTAGGCTGCATTCATTTCATAAGGTTATTTGTTTTGCCCAAAGTCAAATGTGCCCTTAGAGTTCAAGGGCAAAATTCCACAAATTTTCCTTTTTTCTTTTTTTAATGCTAGAGAGCACGCATGCTCACTAGAGAGCAAGAGAGACAGGGAGAGAACATGAACTCCCCCATGGAGCATGGTCACACTACAATTCTTTTTCCTTTTCTTCCGCCTTCTCAGCAGAAGGAGCACATGCATACACTGGGCCTTTTACAAGCCAGGACTCAACCACAGCCAGCCACGTGAGATCCAGCTCCCTCAACTGCTGCACTGTGGAGCCAGCCCCTCAACTGATTTTCAAGACAGTCCAGGGGGTTTGGTGTAATGGGGAGCTTAGGTTTTCAAGAATAGTCTATTTGAGAATAGTCTATAAGTTCCAGACATCTTTTATCTGGAGAACATTAGAGAATACCTTCTCTGAGGTAAGGCTTTAAAATGAACAAATTACCCTATGTTAGTAAAGATGAAAAAATATGAACACACTGAGTGGTAATCAGGATACCTAACAGGTACCTGTTGCATATTAGCTTAGCTTTGCTAAGATACCATCTCTTCTATAATAACACCAATATCTCCAATAGAATTTGGGAACAGTGTTTGCATAACTTTGTATCCTGCTTTTTCACTTAAATAGCATGTTATATTGTTACTATGAATTCTTCAGTATCATCTTAAAGGCTACATAATAGTTCATCAAGAACATATTCCATAATCAATTTACTCATTCCTCTACTGTTGGCATTAAGTTATTTTCAATTCCTTTCTAATACACAGATAAGCTGCAATAAATATCTGTAAATAACTTTTTACTGTATTTTCCATTTTTTTCACTAAGTTACAAGACTTGAAAATCATTACATGATTGGTCAAAGATGATGAAGACTTTAAAGGTTCTTGGGACCAGCAGTTAGCGTAATGGCTATGTCGCTGAATTCCCATGTAGCCGACCACAGTTTGAGGCCTGGATTCAGTGGCTTAAACTCATGCTGGGCACGTGTGCGTGCATGCCCAAGATCCCGAGAGGAGAATGGAGGAGAAGGGACTGCAGCATGGCCATGCCCCCTGCGGGGGGGGGGTGATTTCTCACTTTCTCTCTCTCTGGCAAGCTCATGTGCCCTATAGCAAAAACCCCCCCCCCCCCCAAAGAAAAAAAAAAAAAAAAAAAAAGACTTTAAAGGTTCTCAATATAAATTTCAATCTGCTGCCTCCCCCAAAACCAGAATAAGGATTTGGGCTGTTAGAGTAAGTAGGGAGATACAGAGGCTGTGCTTGGCAGTCCCGCTTGACTGGCCCACTCCCAGGGCCAGCCTTGTGGACTAGACACTGCCATGTCCAGCTGCGCCTGGGCCCTACGCCAGGGAGGCTTATGGCTGGGAATGTTCTGGGGGTTCTAAACAATGGGACCTGAAAGGCACTGCCACCTCCACACCTAGCATCAGATACCTCTGGGGAAAGGTATGTCCCACAGGTACTTGATGGTATACCTCCACGGGGCATGGTATGTCCCAGGACCTCACTCAATAGATCACTTCTTGTGTTCAGTCCATGAAGACACTGAACTGGGTCAGCTCCTGGTCTGTGATTTGGAAATTCATCTGGTTTTGAGAACTGCTCTGCCTAAGGCTTCCATATTGTGAGTCTGCTTCTCTTTGCCGTTCATCTCCCCTATCCTGCCCTTTCTGTCTCAGCACACTCCTTGGATGATCCCATCAGCCAGAACAGACTTGAGTTAGCACCTCCTCTTGACTAAGTGTTTTGAAATGCCAGACTCGAGACCAGCAGATGGCATAATGGTTATGTTGCTAGACTTCCACATAGTCAACTGTGGCTCAAATCCCAGACCCTGGGCACATGTACATGCACTCCCAAAGTTCCCAGAGTCAGTCCTGAGAGGAAAATGGAGGAGAAGGGACTGCGGCATGGCCATCCCCCTTGGGGGGTGGTGGTGGTGACTTCTCACTTTCTGTCTCTCTTTATATCTCCAGTGAGTATACCAACTCTATACAAAAACCTCTTTAAAAAAAAAAAAGAAAGGTCAGGTTCTGCTGCCGAGGCTCTTGTCGGCAAGAACTGTCCCATCTCAAGAACTATGCCAGAGGCAACTCAGTTACAGGGTTCTCTTGCTCCAGGAAGCACCTCTTACTCTGGGTTCCCTCACCATACTGCATGGCAGAGGCCCCACTGCTTATATCCTTCTTCCCTAGACAGAGATTCCTGAAGGCTAAAGTGTACGTCCACATCACTTTTACATTCTGCCAATTACCCAGCTGCCTAGTGTACAACAAGCCTTTGAAACAGCATTTGCTGACATCGAAAGCAAGAACTTTTTTTTTGGAGAGGTTTTCTGCTATAGGGAGTATGCGTTCGCCATAAAGATAGAGAGAAATGGAGAGACAGAAAGCGAGAAATCACCCCCAGGGGGGATGGCCATGCTGTGATCCCTTCTCTTCCATTCTCCTCTGGGGATCTTGGGCACGCATGCACATGCGCCTGGTGTGAGTTTAAACCACCAGGTCTGGGACTCGAACTGTGGTCGACTACGTGGGAGTCCAGTAACATAGCCATTATGCTAACTGCTGGTCCTGAAAGCAAGAACTTCTGGGTAAATGGTTTATTGCTATTTATTATTAAAAACATATTATTCCCTTTTTATTCAACATCATTTATCTATAAGAAATCTGAGCTATAATTTCCTTCTTTTTATGTTTTAGCTCCTCGTTAACAATTTTCCTAGAAGTGTAGCTTTCTTTTTAGCCATACATCAGAAAAAAGAAAACAAAAACACATATATAATTAACAACTGAATCTGTAAAACAAACTCATATAGACACAATTTCTGAAGAAGACAAATTGATAAAGGGCAAGTATCAGATATCATTTCGTCTGGAATCCTGTTATCAAGAGTCATTCATTCCATGATAAGAACAGAGTGTCTGACACTAAACATTCCAGTTCAGCAAACACTCCTTTGTCTCTGTGTGAGGAAATTAAAGCCACTCAATCCACAGAGCTGGGGGATGGGAGATGGAGGGTGGTGAGGAGGGGGGGGGAACATGAATATGCAAATAGGATGCCTTAGGCAGGAAAACACTTCCTGATTGTGGAAATTACTGTTTTCCCTTGGTTATTCCTCCTGGTGTGATTAGGAGGAATTTCACTTTAGGTTTCTGTTGGCATTCTATTCCACGGGCTAGGGATAGACCGGAACCATAAATAATTCAAGAGTGTGGGGTCTTATGGAGATGTGACTATATTTTATTTCCCTGAGGATAGATGCAATCTTACACTGGGAAGTGAGTTAGGTAGTGTCATCTTACTCCTTGGGACATTAATGTCCTGTTTCTTCACCTAACTGGCGTTTATAAGAAAGCTTTTTACCCAAAAGAGCCTCGCCTTCAGGAATTCCACACATCAATTTAGCATGCACTGGTCAAAAAAACAGAAGCATTCACCACAAAAGCAGTTCAAGTTTAGGCACAGCTATTGTCCATTCCAATAACATCAAACTCCAGGCCAGGTACTAGCACGATCTCTTGCATACACCAACAAAATATTCTGCTTCTGAGGTCTCTTGGCCTATGGTTCAGTCAAGTGCGACTTTTAGAACCATGTTCCTGAAGGACAACTCTGGTCATATCAGTCTCCTGCCCAGGAGACGTTCTAAGGACCTCTCTGCCTTCTCAATTCAGCTCCCACCTTCCTTTGCAGATTGAGTTCCCACAATGTCCCGAGAAATACCCCTTACTCTTTCTGGGGCTCAGGTTCTGCTCTTCTCTCTTTGGGTAAGTTTGCCTGCCTGGGAGAGTGCGCTTATGAATTCTTACGGGGAGAATCCTACCGAATGCAAATGGATCTTCAAATGCTACTTCCTTCACACATCTTTTCCTGATTCTTGTTTGTCACACATGTGGGTATAAGCCTTCCCTTCTCAAAAGCTCCTAACAAAATAGATCTCACACCAGGGCACTCCCCCATCTTATTTTGTACACCAGGCAGTGGGGATATATACGTTTAACTATATACTATACTGTCCCTCTAGCAGACTGCAATTCCTTGAAGGCAGGGACTAGATATAGACTCTGATCTCCCCAGATTACATTGTACAACTGTGTGTGTCTGATGAGTGAGCAACAAATATTCCTGAATATATGGCATTGACAGGTGCTTGAAAACTGGTTTATATAGAAACTACTACAGGGGACCAGCAAGTGGTGTGGTTAAGGGACTGGACTACGACATGGCTGCTGCAATTTGAGTCCTAGACCCAGCAGCTTGAAAATGATGCTGTGCACACATGCTCAAAACCCCGAGAGGAGAATGTAGGAGAAAGGACTGCAGTGGGGCCATTCCCTGGGGAGGTGATTTCTCACTTTCCTTCTCTCTGTCTCTCTCTAGGGAGCATACACACCCTATGGCAAAAATCTAAAAAAACAAAAAAACTACTAAAGACAAAGTAGATATAAAAGGGAAGCGTGGGAGGCAAAAGAAACTAGAAGAGGAGGAAGATTTTGATCCATGCTGCCTGCTCTGTTGGGGAGTAATCTAAAGAAGTGTCAGAATACCAGACTGATATTTAAGAGACATTTGCAGCAACTTACTAAAATTTCATCCAGCTAGCATTTACTGACTCACTGCTATTTACCAAGTTCTGGCCAGGCACCTAGGTACAATGATTAGAAATGATGGCTCCATTCTTTGGAACCTAATATAGTCCACTGAAGGAATCTCATAAAAACATTTAGCTTAATAAATATACTCAAGAAGTTTTAAAGGAACAAAATGTATGTGTGTACAGAGGACAAGGAGTTGACCATGCTGTGAAAGGAAGGGATCACTTCAAGAAGATAGGAACATTTGACCAAGTCTCAAAGAAAGACCTCGATTTGCTGAGTGGAAGTGGCCATTCTTGGTAGAGCCAACAGCATGTGTCCAGGCTTGGAGGGACGGACATGGGAAAGAGACACTCAGAGTGGCCAGAGCATGGGCTGCACCTCGGAGGAGGCTCCCAGGTAAGCAGCGACAAGCCAGTACAGTGACCTGTAATGAGTAACTTTATAAAAGTTCATACCAGGGTATCTGGGAGCGGGCAGATCCTAGTATGTGCCTGATGTTCAATGACCCTCACTCCCTCATGTCATCTTCTCCCATCTTCCCAGCTTACGGCAGCCCACCCAGGCTCACTGCAGTTTAGCTGTAGGACAGGGATGTGTGCACGGCCTGCTTATTAGTCCTACAGCACAGAGTAGTGCTTTGGACCGGCATTTTCAAATTTACTTCAGGATAGAAACATTTCACATGAAAAGGCATAACTTTTCAAGAACAGACCTTTCCCATCATTTGGTTGCTTAACTCAATATTATACATTATACTTTTACATCCTGACCCTTCTTATCATCATGAGGATAAAAAAACAAACAAACAAACAAAAAAAAACAATGTCCTCCTTCAAGGAGCCTTAGAACTCACTGAGCAGCAATTTTGATGAATTTTTTCACCAGCTGCACTCGCTTGCCCAGCTGGCTGCAGAGCAGAATCTCCGTGGCCACCCAGAGTTGGACTTCATTGCATCTCTGGAGCAGAAGGCTGAGGTTCACGGTGTGCTCTCCGTTTCCCTGTCTGCTGAATGTGAAGTAGATCAGCTCTTGCTGAAAGAAAATGTGTTCATGCCAGGGCTTATTTATAGCACAAAGTCAAGTTGATGCAACATGCAGTCCATTTTTAAAAGTTACTTCAGGTAGCCACTCCCATATCATTACAATGCTAAAATAATTCAACAAATACTAATAAATTCAAACTAATTTAGAGATACATCAGTCCATAGCATTCACCTGGAATTCTAAAATAAAAGTAGTTTTTCAGGATGTAAGGAAGACAACTTCATATGAAAATTTAAAACATTCTAAAGTTTTTCTTTTTCAAATTTGCTGCAAGGCACATGCACCCCCTTGGGGGGATGGTCATGCCTCAATCCCTTCTCCTTCATTCTCCTTTTGGGATTTTGGGCATGCACAAACATGCACACAGTATGTTTTTCAAGATGCAGGGTCCTGGACTTGCACTGTACTGTTGGCTATATAGGATCCAATCACCTGAACCACTATGCGACCAGCTCACCTGACATTCTAAAAGTTAAAGCACAAATTAAATAGAATCCCCGAATTTCTCAAACATTCTATGTTGAAAAATTCAAATGAAAATAAAAATTAGTTTTATTAGTATTTGTTAAGTGCATGTCAGACCCTCACGGTCCATGCTCTAAGACAGTAGTCCTCAAATTTAAGTGTGAATCTGGGTTTCCTAGAGACCTGTTAAAGCAAGGACTGCTGGGCCCACCCCTCAAAATTCTGATTCAGTAGGATGATGGGGCAGCTGGAAGGGTGCATTCTAATCAGTTCCCAGCTGGTACTGATAATGCTGGTCTGGTGGTTATTCTTTCAGGACCACTGCTATAAGATACTGCCAAACCATAAATAGAAAGAAAATGAGATTAGGGCAAGGTCCCATAATTTATGAAAGCAAATAAGACCAGTATTTATTTATATTGACTATACTTGAAGCAATAAAAGAGATTTGTTTTTAAACAACTGTGTGTGTGTGTGTGTGTGTGTGTGTACTTGATAGAAGCAGCCCACCTTCTCCCGCTGCAGAAGCAGGAATACATCCCATTCTATTAACATTTCCAAAGACACAAGTCGTTTAGCCTGCATGAGTTCACTACTTGCTCAAATTCAGATCATAATGTGGAAATTTTAAAAATAAGATAACATGAGCTCATTTAAAAGATATTTCAAAATTAAAAGTGATGTTTAAGGGTTCCTAAATTGGACATGAGGATCCTTCTTCAAAAGAGAAGGCCACTGCAGAACAAAAATTTCACTACATGGCAAAGCAAGTGCGACATATGGTTGCATGGGGCTCTAGCATTTTTCATTTCCTGACTCCTGGGAGCTAACCTGGTCAAATTTATTCACTGTCAGTAGCAGTTTGTTCCTAATCTATTGTTTCATAAATGTTATACCTTCAAGGGAGAAGCTGATGGACATAAAAAGTTGAAATATATTCAGAATGTTCAAAAAAAGTACTTGAAGCTTTAGGGTGCAATCTGAATTTACAGAATGTTCTTAAATAAAAACATCTAGGGCCAGCCAGTAGCTTGGAGGTTAAGGCAACTGGAAGTCACATGGTCAACTCTGCAGTTTGAGTCCCAGACCCAGAGGCTTAGAACACATGCCAGGTGCATGTGCATGTACCCAAAATCTTGAAGGGAGAAATGGAGGAGAAAGAACTGAGGTATGACAGTCCACTGTGGGGGTACATTCTCACTCTCTCTTTGTCTCTCACTAGCAAGCACAGATACTCTCTAGCAAAAAAAAAAAAAAGGGGGTCTGTATGTGTGTACATACATAAATATGAATATAGTTCTTGTATAGCTACTACAAACTTCATTTAAAAAAATCAAAATATCGTTATCCTAGATAAAATGGTTTTAACTTCATTAGTGCTTCTATATATTTACATAAACACCTATGCACATATATGTCTGCGTCCATATAAAAATACAGCATATTTGTACTATATGGTACATGCATATGATTGCACCAGGTGCAGATAAAGTCTGATCACATATTCTGACTTTCCTAGGACTGGGATCAGTCTCTCAATATATTTAAAGTTTCCAAGTATTTTCTGAGTCATGCTATCCTAACATATTACCACAAGCATCTTCTTTAAAAATAGTTTACACTTAAAATAGCATTAGCATTCATCTTTTCACATTCTACTTACCTCGTGAATTGAATTAAATAGACTCCAGTCAAAATTCATTAATTCCAAAGCAAGATCCCAAGTGTTCATTCCCAAAATCCTCATCGATCTTTGCTGTGATTCCTCATTTTCTGCAAATGGGTTCTAAACCAACGGACAGAAGCAAAAAGATCCTCAGTAATTCCCAAATGTTTTGCACTGAATTGGTTGGCCATAGAAAGGCACTAGAAGCTCAGATTGAAAAGTAATTTTTTCTGAGTGCACTTAATATTTTCCTCGGTCTGTTCACCTTCAGTGAATTACAGCCAATTTAGGAAACGGTCTTGGAAACAGTAGAATGTGATCAATGATACCTCACGGAGTTAGCCTGTCCCTCCCCCACCTTCCCCATCCTCCCTCCCCCTCCCCCCCCATATCCCTACCCTGGCCTCACACAAATCTGATTATAAAACACTGCCTGGGCAGACAGCATAATGAAAGTGAAAGCCCTGAAATCACTTTGGCTTCTGGTAAGAATTAATGTGCCAGCAGGGTTAGTATAAAAACAAACAAAAGAAATGTCATGGTGCACTTCAATAAAGACAGACATGGCTAGTTACAGGAAATATGTTTAACAAGTCTCATCCCAGACACAGGTTTACACATTTTATTGAAATGCCCGTGGAAAGTGGAAAAATTTAACATGAAATAAAACATAAAAGGTATTTCATTTATATATCCCATGGTAGATGATTAAGCATCAACTGCTTTCTTTACACAAATAGGGACTAACTATTATGAGGCTGGTACTAGTACATCAGTACTTCCTTACAATCTGGCATGAAATTATTAAAAGTCAATATTTGAAATCCACTGTCAGTTTAATGTGATTTTTGAATTGTTTGCCATCTTTCCAAAATACTTAGTATTTTCTTTCTTTCTTTCTTTCCTTCCTTCCTTCCTTCCTTCCTTCCTTCCTTTCCTTCTTCCTTTCTTTCTCTTTTTCTTTCTTACTTCCTTTCTTTCTCTCTTTTCTTTCTCTTTTCCTTTCTCTCTTTCTTTATTATTTTTCTTTCTCCCTTTCTTTTTAGTTTTTCTTTCTTTCTTCACTCTTTCTTTCTTCTTTCTTTTCTTCTTTCTTATTTCTCTCTCTCTCTTTTAATAGTTTTACTATAGGGTACATGTACTTGGCCAAGAGAAATCCCCCCCACCACCATCCCCCCAGGGTAATGGCTATGCCACAGTCCTTTCTCCTTCATTGTCCTCTCAGGATTTTTTTTTTTGGGGGGGGTGGGGGGGCACTCATGCCTGGCATGAGTTTTAAGTTGCTGGGTTCAATACTCAAACTGTGGTCAACTACATGTGAGTCCAGCAACATAACCAGTATACCATCTGCTGGTCCCCAACATCTTCAATATTAATGTACCATATTTAAAAATAGACCTCAGGAACCAGCAGGTGGCCTGATGGTTAAGGTGCTGGACTCCCATATGGCTGACCACAGTTTGAGTCCCCAACCTGGCCATTTGCTTTCTCACTCTCTCTCTCTGGTCAAATTTAAATTAATTCATTTATTAAATGATTATTTGGAAAAGAGAGGAGACTTTAGTTATGAGTAGATTCTTTTTATTTACTTAATTCTAGAATTTTTCAACACTGTAATCCCTTATGCGTGGCAGCTTGCTTCTCTGTTTTATTTATTTATTTTTGGAGAGGTTTTTGTTACAGGGTGTGTGTACTCGCCAGAGACAGAAAGCGAGAAATCACCCACGGGAGGATGGTCACGCTGCAATCCATTCTCCTCCATTCTCCTCTCGGGATCTTGGGCACATACGCACACATGCCTGGCGTGAGTTTAAGCCACCAGGTCCGGGACTCAAACCATGGTCGACTACATGGGAGTCCAATGACGTAGCCATTACACCATCTACTGGTCCCAATACTTAGTATTTTCTAATTAAGATATAAATTATCTTATTTGAGGAGTTAGACTTGAATAGTTAATGACTTGAAAAGAATGGGACTTTGCAAAAATAAATGACATAGCATGATAAAGGAAATATTTCAGATGGCACACATTAATCTTTTTATCTAAACTCAAAAATAAAGTCTTTGCATTTGGAAGTTTCACTTTTATGAAAAGGTTTTCTAATTAAAAAAAAATTAAAAAGATGACAAACGAGTTTCAAAGAACTTTCCCAGAGACTTGACTCTCTTCAGAGCTGGTTGAGGTACAAACTGTCTCTATCCCTCTCAGAAGGCAATGACCAAATGAATGAACTTACAAATACAGAGGTGCTGAGGAATGGGAAAAGCCAAGGTAGTTCAGAGACTGGTCTAGCTAGGCTAGAACCAGACAGATCATAGTGCAGACACTCAGAGGGAGACCAAGAATTGGGAAGTAACATAAATATTTACTTGATAACTTGGAGGAGTAAGGATGTTTTTACTTGACTTTTTGTCTCTCTTACTTCTCCCTGAATGTCTTTTAACCTGATAGTACCCTCTAGCTGTCTACCACCCTTACCAAGAAACATTGTATTTCTTTATCCCATTCCCTCATAGCTCTAATTCCTGTTTTCTAAGTTTTGCTTTTTACCAGAGGACATATATGCTTGCCAGAGACACACAGAGACAGAAAGGGAGGAAGAAAGCCCCCCAGTCCCTCAATGGGGCATGGTCATGTTGCAATCCCTTCTCCTCCATCTCTCTAGCCTGTTGAGATTCCGGGCATGCATGTTTTTCAAGCCACCACAGACAGGACCTGAACCATGGTCAGCCATGGTGTGATTCAGCTTCCTGAAACCAGTAGGCCAAGGGTACAGCTCTCAAACTACTACTTTCTAAGATTAACTAATCAACTGGAAGTACTAGAGAGAACTACTGGTTTCATATTTTAGTCTTCCTTTACGATGTTCCATTTTAGCTGAAATCATCTGGAGTTGAAATGCTTAAATTGATCACCCCAGTGTGGACATATGAAGTAGGGTCCAAAGTTGGTGGGGTGAACATTTGAGGGCAGGATGGGCCCTCCTAGAATGTACTTCATAGCATCCATTTATTCCATGGTGACATTGTTGAGGCCTGCCTTCTAGTTCTTCAAGATGGCCCTGGACAGAGGTGGAAGAGCGCCCTGGGATGCTTATGAGGCAACTGCAGGAGAAAGCTGTATGTGGCTGGAGAAGAGGGCATGGAGGCAATTTGAGTGCAGGCTTCCTCCATTGCCAGGAGCCCCATGGTAGCTACCCATGAAATCCTCCTCCTTTGTGGGAATGGGTAAAGTCCATCTGGTTATTCAGAATGCTGTACAGCACCAGTCTGCTGGGTTCACTGATGCAATCATGCAGGCCCTGTGACCTGTTGAAGGAAGAATACGAAAGGCCCACAAAACACAGAAAGTGCCTTTTCCTTTCCTCCCTCATGATGTACAAATGAAAGGAAGGTGCAGGGACTTCAGAGTCACACATAACTGGATTGAAAATCCTAGCACCCCCCTTTACATGACTTCATAAAGCTTGAGTAAGTTGGGGCTGGTGGTGGGTGACGTAGTGGTTAAGGCACTGGACTTCCACATGGCTGACTGTGGTTTGAGTTCTGGACCTGGAGGCTTGCTTTCTTACTTTCCCTTTCTCTCTCTCTGTTTCTGGTCAAGTTTAAAATAAAATAAATTGAATTAATTCTTATTTGAAAAGCTTGAGTAAGTTACTCAATGTCTCCAAACCTCATAGGGTTATAGGGAATGTTAAATGAGATACAATATGTAAATTACCTGGCACATGTATGTCTGATCTTAACTGTGGAAACTGACAGTGACTAACAGTACTGTGGTAGCTTGATATCTTATAGATAACTTTACATAAGATATTCCTATTTTAAGTAATTTTGGGTAACCCACATGGTATATAGATTCTTCAGTTATATAAAATCCCACCCGAGAGATGACAGCACGAAAAATGACAAGGACCATGAGTCTGGATGATATGATCACAATCCGTCAGAGCCCGCCCCTTGCAGATGACAGACCTGAGGACTGGCCCTACACTCAGAAGGCAGCAACAGCCCAAGGAAAAACATCCACCAAGGTGCAAGTATCCTCAGATTTCATACTGAAAATAACTTCAGTGTGAGTTTCTTCAAAAGCTTACTCCTCAGTGACATCTGATGTCCCATTGTTTGACTCCATTTTGCAGAGGGAAGGCTGATAATCCAGCCGTTTTTCAAGGAAATTAAATATTTGATGTGCATCAAATGCCTGAAACTAAGGACATGATTTCTCTTCTCCTAAATCTACTCAGGGAACATTACTCAGCCTATTTTCCATTGATCTACCAAAAAAAGAAGAAATGGAATTAAAACTCCACAGGAAAGGGAATTATTCATCTCAAATCTCTCATTTCAGGGCTCATAAAGAAGCAGAGCTGTATTCAGGAGGGGTGCAGAATTCCTCAAGTTGGGCCTCTCTTTGATTTGTAAAAGAAGTGCTATTTTGCTAGTGCATCATTGGCTACTGGGAGAAACAATTTAATGTATTTTTTCTAACATTCATCAGAAAGCATATAAATACATGCCGGAACTCTGTCACTTAGGGGTGGGTGTGTTTCAAGTATAAGGCAAACAGTTCTTACCAAAGTGTCAGCCAGGTCTTTCCGGTAGACATATATCCGACCAGAAGCCTCAAGTGATTTGGAGATGGCCAAGTCATTTGGCTGAAGTTCATGCTTTCCTTTATTTAAAAAACAAACAAAAACTGAGTAATTGGAAATACAGGAGTAGAAAAAGGCCTACACACTACATCTGAAGACTGATATTTGCCATAGAAAAATATTTAAAAGTTAACAGGACTTAAGGGAGATGGATTGAGTTCTATATGCTCGACAATGGCACCAGAGGTATCATAAACATTAGCACGCAGCACCCCGAAAGTGGAGCCCTCTGCAGTTCTTTCTCATATTATTCAGTCATCCTTTAGAACTCTGAACTGTTTAAGAAAATAAAATGCACCTGTAATTCCATCTAAGATAACCATAAGATGGTAACTTTGTTTATATTAGGGCACATTTTTCTTTCTATAAACATATACTATTTGTACGTTTTTGTGGGACACGAAGTGATTTTTCAGTACAAGAACACGATATGTAGTGATTGAAACAGGCTTGTTAGTCTACCCACCATCTCAACCATTTGTTATCACTTTGTGTTGGGAACATTCAAAACCCCCTTTTTTAGTGGATCGTCAGAAAAATCATGATACACTTTTCTATGCAAAAACATGTCATGACTTTTCCCACAGCCCAATAGTTATTTTGAGATATGCATAGTAAATTACTGTTAACTATATTCATCCTAGTGTATTTTATAACACTAGAGACTGTCCTTTTCTACCTGTAGTTTTGTTTCTGTTAATTGATATCCCTCTATCTCCATCCCTCCCCAAATCTTACCAGTCCCTCATAGTCATTCTTTAACTCCTTACTTCTAAGAAGTCTTCATTCTCAGTTTCCACACGTGAATAAAAAATGTGGATTTCTCTTTTGGTATATGGTTTATTTTACTTATGATGTCTTCCAGGTTGGATATTTGGGCATATTTTTGGTCTGATCTTTATATAAATGTGTATACACACATATTTGCCATTATTTATATACATTCATAATTATTATGGACACGCACATATATTTGCAGTTATTCCTTATACAGTATTAGATTTTATTATAAGCACTTATCAAATTTATTTATTTATCCACTTATCAAAGTTATTTACTAATGATATGTTTAATTAGTTATGAAACAGTCCATTATACTATCATTTAATCTTTCCTCTATTGTTGAACATTAAATAGTTTCTTTTTTTTTTTTGGTCATATAAATTATTGATGGATAGCATGATCTATGCTAAGCACGGGTCCTGGCACATAACAAGGGTTTGATAAATGGGGTCTATTATTATAGCAGCCATAATATATATGGCTGAAGTCAATATTCTTGTGCATAAATCTTTGTCTGCTTATAGATGATTTTCTTAAGGTTCTCAGTACTAGAGTCATAAGGTCAAAGGAGATGAATATATTTGCAGACTTCGATATAAAACTGCTTTCAAATTCTCAATATTTTTTTAAAAAAATAAGCCAATAGATTCTCCTAGAGATAGACATAAAACTTGTATACGGATCAGCACTGATGATTATTTTTAATAAGTTTGCTGTTTTGCTAAACCCCCCAAAAAGATTTTCAGTTTATTTTATATTTCTTTTTTTTAAAGAATTATTTTTATTTTAACCTTATTTATTTATTGTAATCTGACCAGAGGGGGACAGAGAGAGAGAAAGAGAGAGGGAAAGTGAGAAAGCAAGCCACCAGGTCCAGGACTTGAATCACTGCTGGCCATGTGGGAGTCCAGCACCCTTAATTAACCACCATACCACCTGCCCACTCCAGTTTTGTATTTCTTAACTATTAATAAGGTTGTATTTTTTTTTCACGTATTCTTTTAGTTATCTAATTCCAAACTGTCTCTGTCCTTTGACCATCTTCTTACCACAGCTTGACCCCTCTAATAACATAATAGCTTCTTTTTTTTTTTGGTGAGGTTTTTGCTATAAGGCGTGTACGCTCGCCAGAAAGACAGAGAGACAGACAGACAGAAAGCGAGAACTCATCCCCCGTGGTGATGGCCATGCCGCAATCTCTTCTCCTCCATTCTTCTCTTGGGACCATGGGCACGCATGCACACGTGCCTGGTGTGAGTTTAAGTCATCGGGTCTGGGACTCGAACCACGGTCGACTACATGGGAGTCTAGCGAAATAGCCATTACGCTAACTGCTGGTCCCCATAATAGCTTTTTTTCATAGAAAAAGTCCCTCCTAACTACAAAACATATATGGGGCTAGGAATAAAACAACATTGATGTTGATTCCACTGTGACACAATCAACTTTTCCATTTAATTAGCCAGCATGACTGGAGAATTCAATATTCCATACACTTTTTTCTAGATAACTTAATCAGTTTCGATGCCAAATTTTGTTC